TAAACAAACGACAAGAGAGAAGAGCATGGCCCAGTTAGATTTTTGAGACACACAACGGGAGCTCCTGTAGTGGTGGCTCGGCAATTCTGTATTCGTGTTTCTCACGGCTAGTGAACAAGCTTTCTTGTGAATTAAATTTCACTTCGACAGAAGTAAATTGGTCACTAAAATGTCTGCAATTGTGTGTGGTTCGTGCGCGCCTTCACAGTACGCCTTCTTAGCGATCGTTATGGAGGGTAACATAGTTTTCGCAGTTGGTAGGAATTTGAACACGGCAGTCCGATCTCAATCCTCAACAGAGGGACACGAGAGGTCGAGTCGAGTTGATTTCTTTTCCTTTTTTGTTAATTATACGAAATATTCCTTTGATTCTATTTCCCTATTTCGTCTGATCGTTTTATCTTTTCTCTTCTTTTTTGTGGTCGGCTGCATAATTAATTCTCAATGTATCTTATTTGTTTTTTCCGTGTTTTTCTCTTCTTTGTTATTTGTTTCCTTTTTTCAATTTTTGTTTTATGGTGGGCCGTGTAATTAATTCTCAATGTATCTTATTTGTTTTTTCCGTGTTTTTCTCTTCTTTGTTATTTGTTTCCTTTTTTCAATTTTTGTTTTATGGTGGGCCGTGTAATTAATTCTCAATGTATCTTATTTGTTTTTTCCGTGCTTTTCTTTTTGTTTTTCGTTTTGCTTTTTTGGTTTGTAGTGGGCTGCATACGTGATTGTAAATGTATCTTAGTTGTTTTTTCTGTGTTTTTCTCTTCTTTTTGTCGTTTTTATTTTGTTTGTTTTGGGGGTTTTTTGTGGTGGGCTGCATATTTAATAGTAAATGTACATTATTTGTTTTTGTCAATGATTTTTTATTCTTTTCGTTTTGTTTTTTCGTTTCTCATTTGCTTTATCCTTCTTATTTTTCTTTTTTTTTTTACTGTTTTGTGCAAAAGTTAGATATATTACCATTGCAAATCTACCAGTAGTTGCCACCTGCCGGAATGTCATTGTCACTTTCGGCTTGATATATTTGATTGATCTCCAGCTGAACACAAAGGATATTTCCTTCAAGACTATAACGGAGATTGCATATATTTGCATTGTGCGTTGACAATGTGACGAAGTATAGTCGTAACCTACTGGTATCGTGAGGTACAGCTGGAGTACCCTTCCTTAGTAATAATGATACCATAGACCTGAATCCCTGCTTCAACCCAGAGTCATCATATGTTTGGTTTTCATTGAAGGTACTGCCATTTTTGTTGTAGCATTTGTTGAGGGGTCATATTACACGTTTCTTAGTATATAAGCCGTGGGGCTCAATTTTTCCAACGTCTAAACCTTAGTTCTACAAAGGGAAGAACATAGTCCTCGATCCTCGCCTGCTGAAACATTCTTTTAGTGACTGTGAACTAGCTAACGTGACAATCTGGGTGTTAGTGATGAAGTACTCTCATTAAGAATAGTGAAAACAGCGATGAAACAATGCTAATGTATGGGCCCCGAATAGGCGTAGTTGGCGCTTTAGATGGACACAAACCCGGCACTTTGTAGAAGGTTGAACGCGACTCTGTTTCGGACTGTCTCTGACTCGACTGACTGACTCGCTCTGACTGACTGACAGACTCCGGACGGACTTCACTCCAGACTTCAGACTGAACAGTATTTAGTCCAAAGGCAGAGAGTTCAACCGATCAGCCGGTCAGCCGGTCGTCCGACTTCAGACTGAACGGTATTTAGTCAACCCCGACGAGGGCATCATGTGGCACAAGGCCGGTTTAACGTGGGATATCCGAGCCCTTGGGTTCGGCCAAAAATATGCCCTTTGAACACGTATACACGAGTTCAGGGTCGGTTTACCTCCCCGAAAGAGACTCCGCCCTTAGGCGTAGCCTCGTTTGGGTTCCTCCCACCCGAAGGCAGAGAGTTCAACCGATCAGCCGGTCAGCCGGTCGCCCGACTTCAGTCGGAACTCTCTGCTTCCTCTTGAGGCGCAGTATTTATTACGTATGGAATAGTCCGTTATGTTATTACGGGTAAGGTCCCATAAGGTCCCATAACAATAGTAAAACAGGATTTCACCGAGTCGAAAGAGGATATGAAGTATTAGTTTACTATCAGATTCCTCAAGCCGATGGCGAAAAACAAATGTGTCGATTCAGATTTGTAGGAGTCTACAGTCTTTGGAAGGCTGAATTCTATGCCGAAGAGTTTGAAAAGCAGGATGTCACCTGCCGAAATAACTACGTTTGTGTAAACGCTGGAGCTGATTCCCCTGCGAACAGGGACTTGTACTTTACCATTCGGATGTTCGGATGTATGTTTCCCCTGCTCTTCATATTTCCTTGCTTGTTTCCACATCATTCGAAAGAATATTGAAAACTATGTACACTGTGTGATTCATATAAGGAAATACCAATGGTCTGATCGAATTCAATGTTCATTAGGAGCCTTTGAGCTTAAAAGAGTTGATCTGTGGTGACTCATGTGTACCGAATTCACTTTAAGAGAATCCAAATAAGTGCTGTACTCAATGGGATCTCAGAACGATAAAAGACTTAGGATCCTTGTTTGAACTAGAGGATGTCAACCAAGCCGCCAAATGCAAAATCGGACCTCAAAGGGTGTCGGCGGGGAGTGGGGGGGGGCAAAATAAATAGGAAGTTGAACTTTGGATTTAAACAAACACACAAGACAAACCGGATTACCGGAAGTTATATAAACACCCTGCCTCTGAGCGGAGAGAATAGATTCCCTCAATTCATCGCGGGAAGATCAAACGTTCGATGAAATATCCAAAATACTATGACCATTATTGGATGACGTGAATAAAATGAAAGTGAAAAGGGAATTATAATTAAAAATTTAGTCTCGTATTCTTGTCAAATATTGCTAACATAATATTATTCAGATTTCAGTGTGGGTAACGATATTAAGGGAAAAGGAAATTCCGAAGTGGACTCACACATTTCATAGTTGTTGTGACATCCCAGTAACGATACATTTTTTTTAAAATATTCTTGGCTTTTCTAATAAGAGTAGAGCAAAAATGCAAGCTAGTTCAATGCCGTCTTCCTTGCTGATAACAGATACGCCATATTTTAATATGTGCCTGTCTTTTTTTTTTTTTTTTAATCTTGGCCCTAAATCAGCGCCGATCAAACTAACGAGGCCGGTACTCACGTCTACACTCGTTTGCCACCCCCCATCCACATTTGAGACGACGAAGCGCCATAAAAACCAGTCACAGATATTAATTCTCTGACAAACATTATTGGCATTAACATTACTGATCCGAGGTTAGAATATTGCTTCTTGATATTGAAGAGGCGAGACGTTTTGTGAGATGAACAAGAAAAGCAACGAGCAAAAGGGAGATCAGCTTTTTTATTGATTGAGCTGCACATTTACACACACTAGCACAAATTGTGACAGAGCAAAGCAGATGTCGCAAATCGCTGTCATCTATGAAGTAGGGGTGATGAAAAGTTTTCTTTCCGACAAGGAAAGGATTCTCAATAAAATTCAGATGATTGGCCGTTTGATTAACTTAATTCGGTTAGTGTGTCGAATCCTTTACTTATCAGCACGCCTAAACATAACACATTTTATATATAGCTCTCCTACACACACACACACACACACACACACATATATATATATATATATATATATATATATATATATATATATCTTATAGTAACTCGTCGAGTCTAGAAGAATCCTCAACAGAATGCAGAAAGCACTGGACGGCCGTTTCGTCCTATCTGGGGCTCATCAGCAGTGCGCATCCACTATCGAGACTCGAACCCAGACAGTTTCGATACAACACTAACGTCATACCAACTGTACCACGGGCCTCGGCGACAAAGAAGGCACAAACTAGGCTCGATATAGCGTGCTACTCACTCAGTTCCGCAGAGATAATCATCAAAGTATTCAGATAACATCGGAACAGTCCCCCAAGAGCCACGACTGCTTTTTTACCCTTAGCCTGTCCATTGCAAAGCATTAGCTGGATCTAGCAAGGTTATACAAGTGATTATTTTGGGGATTTAGGCTAATCTTATAGTAACTCGTCGAGTCTAGAATAATCCTCAACAGAATGCAGAAAGCACTGGACGGCCGTTTCGTCCTATCTGGGACTCATCGGCAGTGCGCATCCACTACCGAGAATGCTTTCTGCATTCTGTTGAGGTTTCTTCTAGGCGCTATATCGAGTCTAGAGTGTGTCTTCTTCATCACCGAGTCCCATGGTACAGTTGGTATGACGTTTGCGTTGTATCGAATCTGTGCGGATTCGATTGATAAGATCCAGAGACGGATATGTAATATAATTGGCCCTGATCTGGCATCTCGTCTACAGTCACTCTCTCACAGACGCGCCGTCGCCTCTCTCTGTCTTTTCTACAAATACTTTCATGGTAATTGCTCCGATGAGCCTTTCACTGGTTCCCCAGACTCCATGAATTCAAGCGCCCTACGAGGCTGGCATCCCACTCCCCCCTTACACTGTAGAAACTTTTAAATGTAGCCGTCTCTTCTACTCCAGTAGCTTCACACCGCACCTCTCGCCTGTGGGGGAACACCCTTCCCAATTACTGTTTCCTGAGAGCTATAATCCCCAACTATTCAAATGTAATGTCAATCGACATCTCCAGTTACCTTGATCTATCCACTATCCCTCTCCTCATCCTTTCTTCTATCACTCCTATCTGCCCTTGTCCAAATCTTCTGCAACCCCCTGCATCCTAATGGCTTCACGCCTTGCTCGGGGCGTAATGCTTAAAAAAAAATCCCCCAATTAATCACTTATATATATATATATATATATATGTATATATAGTACTAAAACTCTGAAATTTGTTTGCTTGCTTGCTTGTGTGTTTGCCACCGTGCACACGAAGTCATATATAGAGAGAGTTGGGGAAAGAAAGATATAAATTTATAATCGTGGGGGAAAAGGAAATGGTGTGTATACATGAATTGATAGTGAGACCAAAAGATAAAAAATGCTGTCTCTTACCACCTCTCTTTCTTTCCACCTCCCTCTTTCCACCTCTCTCTCTCTCTCCTTCCACCTCCCACTTTCCACCTCTCTCTCTTTCCACCTCCCTCTTTCCACCTCTCTCTCTTTCCACCTCTCTTTTTCCACCTCCCTCTTTCCACCTCTCTCTCTCTCTTTCCACCTCTCTCTCTCTCTCTTTCCACCTCCCTCTTTCCACCTCTCTCTCTTTCCACCTCCCTCTTTCCACCTCTCTTTCTCTCTCTTTCCACCTCCCTCTTTCCACCTCTCTCTCTTTCCACCTCCCTCTTTCCACCTCTCAGTGATTGCGTACGTGCTTATTTATATTTCATCATTCTTTAAATAAACAATATTTTAAATATTTAAAACATATTTTTTGCCATACTTAAAAATATTTTCAAGGGAATATGATTTAAAAATACGATTTGTTTATACAGTAAGTATTTTTATTTCAACTTTTTTCAAACGGACAATTTTTTAATGCTGAAATCAACTTCAGTGTTTTATAATCTGAACCTTCATTGACTCAACGAGTCACGGATAGTATAATACTAAATGTCTGCGAATCGGGTGTATGTCGGCTGTTGGGTGCATGATTGATTTAAGTTTCTTTCCACCTCTCTCGTTACACCTTTCACTTTCCACCTTTCTCTTTCAATTCTCTGTATTTCCATCTCTCTCTTTCCACTTCACCCTTTTTCCATTTCTCTGTCTTTCCATCTCCCTGTCTTTCGACCTCTCTTTTTCAAATCTCTCTTTCCATCTTTCTCTTTCCACCTCTCTCTTTCCACAACTTATTCTTTTCACTTCTCTCTTAACACCTCTTTTTTTCCACCTCTCTCTTTCTACTTCACCGTCTTTCACCTCTCTCTTTCCAGCTCTCACTGTCCGCCTCTCTCTTTCCAACTCTCCCTCTTTCTCTGTATTCGCATGCTTGCTTATTGATATTTCAGCTTTTCTTTATAAAAATAATATTTTAAATATTTAAAAAAAGTTTTTTGCGATATTTAAAAAATATTTTCAAGGGAATATAATTTAAATATAACTTTTGGCATATTAAAAATATTTTTAACTTAGTCTGATTTTAAAATATTTCAAGTGAATAAGATTTCAAAATAAGAGTTGTTTATACAGTAAGTAGTATTTTTGTTTCAACTTTCTTCAAACACAATTTTTTTAATGTTGAAATCAACTTCAATACAATGTATATATACAGTGTAACCCGGATATCAGAGAAACCCGGATATAAGAGAGATTTTCTCTGGTCCCAAATTAGAGCCTGTGTTAATGTAAACAAAATAGACCAAACACGGATATAAGAGAAACCCGGATATAAGAGACTTCTTCTCCGGTCCCGACAACTCTCTTATATCCGGGTTTCACTGTATAAAAATACACTATATATGGTACCGCTCCATAATATCAATATATTACATAAAACATCCCTACATATAAAAATCCATTATATATCGCAGCCTTCCATACAAAAAATCCAATACATATAGCAATCCTGACGATAAAAAGACTATATAACACCGGTAAATATAAACATCCATTTTATGTAGCATTCCTCCATATAATATTATATTATATATAAAATCACTACATATAACAATATATATATATATATGTGTGTGTGTGTGTGTGTGTGTGTGTGTGTGTGTGTGTGTGTGTGTGTGTGTGTGTGTGTTATTTGAAAATTGGCATTCGTTTTTAGATGACTTATTATTTGTTGGTGACTGGCGAATTCCTTAGGCCAAGAAATAATGAAAATAAAGAAAAAGAAAGATGAAAATTAAATGACAAATCGAAAGAACCTTCGCCCCACCCTCCTACCACCACCACCACTATCCCTACCAGGTAAAAGATAGTTAAACCTGCTACCGCCACCTCCACCTTGATTACCCACTGTTATTTAGCAATGCTGAAAAATTAAGTTTTACCATTCCAATTCGGTAGTAGCCATCAGAATTTATTCTAAGACATTACTTAATACGAATTCTTTCCAAATTTCTTTTCTTTTTTTTTTCAGGTTTATAAGATTAGATAGGCTCATCTATCATCCTTAACTCTGTGGTGATCAGACTAACCCATTATGAGGGTATTGTGTAGGCAGTTTGCTGGCTGCTGCTTCCGACTGGTTGTCAGGAGCCTAAACTCTTTAGTAGCGCTTAGAGAGGCTGCTCCGAACAACAGTCGCATAATATCCGGTAATCTGTAGGACGCTGTCGCGGATGGGTAGGTGTCACTGCATGTATTTCTGATGGACAACCCTGAGGCCGCATTATGCTCTTCTCTCAGCCACGCACGAGCTGCTTTGCATTGCCAATGACGACAGATAGTGACAATTATAGTGGTCCTTTTTCTCTCTCCTCAAAACATATCCCAAGGAAATCACAACAGTTAGAAATAAAACTAAGCCAGCTAACAACCCCCTCCCCCAACACACACACTCAATTTTTCTTTTTCCAATATTCATGGAATATGCCTACCAACTTCTGCAGTGTAGAATCTTTAATCCTGTAACGGTCGCCAGATATCATTGTCTTCCGTGAAACCAACTTGAATTCTTCCATTGCGATTAATGAATTCTTTGTTCCAGGATATCTCCCTCTTTGCCGAAAAGATTCCAGCATTCAAATCCATGGCCTTTGTGTTTACATCTGGGATAATCTTCCCATGGCCAAGAAATTGTCTTTCGAGACTACTGACTATTGTTTCATGTGCTTCTGTTAGCTATTTCTTTTTACTTTATCGCTCTCCATCTTCACAGAACTGCAGTATATTAGACGCTACAGCTGACAGTATAGAAAAATCACTTTCTTTCCATCCATCTGCGAATATCTTTGTCTTCGGTGACTTTAATGCTCACCACGACATGTGGCTGAAACATTCTAAACGTACTGATTTTACCGATATGCAGACATTAAATTTTTCCATTACCCAATCCCTCACTCAAATTATGGACTTCCCTACTCGTTTCCCTAGCCAAACCGAACAATTTGCTTTTCTATTGGATCGATTTCTTACATCCTATTCCCGCTCTGGCCGATCTTAACAATACTGCCTTCTTGGTAACTCGGACCATTCGGTGGTACCAATTGATGTCTCCTTCCAAATATCCATTAAACAGCCAGCCCCTATCCATAAGACCTCTTTCCGTTATCAGCATGCTGAATGGGACTCATTCCAGAATGTTCTTCGTGATGCTCCTTGGACGGATATCTTCAACCTTCCAAATGAAAATTACGCCACTGAGATTTCTTCTTGGTTCAAAGCCGGGATGGACGTTTTCATCCCTTCTCGGAAATACCTGGTGAAACCGCTATCCTCTCCATCATGCTCGGTCGCTATAGCACACAGAAACCATTATTTCCGGCTATACCAGCGTGACAGCGCTCGTCATAACAGGTGCCTATTTTCTGTTGCTCGCAACAACTGTAAGGGAGGTCTCGAAGAAGCTAAGTCCCTATTTACTGAGAGAATGCAGCTCCGCATGACCTCTAACAGCCTTGACTCTCCTGACTACTGGCATTACTGTAATATGGTACTACATAAGTACAAGGTCTCTATTCCCACCTCTTCAATCGATCTGAGGTGTTATCATCCTCTGCTGATAAAGCTGAATGTTTTGCCCATAAATTCTCCTCAAACTCTACTCTTGACTCATCTGGAATATCACTGCCTAACTTCATATATAGAACTGATTCTCTGTTGAGTGATATGCATATAACCCTTTCCATGGTTTCTGCTATCATCTCTAATCTAGATCTCCACAAAACATGTGGACCAGATGGTATCCCTGTAATAGTCATTAAGAATTGAGCTCACAATCTGGCTCCTGTTCTCTCTAAACTGTATAATAAATGCCTCGCTGCCTTCTGCTTGTTGGAAGTTATTGTCTATTGTTCCAGAACTATGGTGAACTATCTGACCCATCCAGCTATCATCTCTAATCTAGATCCCCACAAAACATGTGGACCTGATGGTATCCCTGTAATAGTCATTAAGAAGTATGCTTCTGAACTAGCTCTAAACTGTATAATAAATGCCTCTCTGCCTTCTGCTTTCCTGATTGCTGAAAGTCATTGTCTGTTCCTGTTTTTAAGAACTCTGTCAGGAGATTAGTTCGACAAGAACTGTCTTACAAAACCACATTCGGTTTTCAAAGATACCTGGAACTACAGAAAACTGGATAATTATTTGTTACAAAGAACATGAAAATAATAAGAAACTTTATTCAGTAATAAAGAAAGTCAACAAGTTCAAAATAGAATTTCAAATGAGTGAAGAAGTGCAAATAAAGAATAATACACCTAATGCAGCGGCAAAGAACCAGAGAGGAACCATTTTAGGACCAAAAAATTTGTCACTGGAACAAACTCTTCCGATATTGTATAGGCACCTGGTCATCAAACCCAGACTATTTCCAACCTTGGATCCAGTGATTCAATGCGAAATCAATTAATAAAAAGAAAGCAAATGAAATGAACTCATGAAGAATATAAAAAATCATGCCATCCTTTTTCACTACTTCCCAAAATCCACAAAAGAACATCACGGATCAGACATACAAAATATGGATAACTACGGGTAGAAACTGGAATAAGACCCCATCTCAAGCCAAACATGCTTGCCAATATCCACAGGGACATCGTACGAAACAAAAGACTCTCAAATGCAGATATACATAAGATAAAACTAGATATAAGACAGAATACAATAATCTCTCATTTAAACAATAAAGAGATGAAACTAAAAATAAATAAAATGACGGAGTCTGAGGTAAAATCTAAAATAAATGAGATACAAAATAATAATCTCCCAGGAAATAAAACTTTTGAATTTACCTGTGACAAAAAAAAAATTCTGGAGTTATCCAGATTATGTCACTGAAGATGAATCAAATGACATTAGGGTAGAAAAACAACAGAGGTGAAATCAGATGAGTAACTCTCATACAAATGTCAGTCAGAGACCAGCTCTCAAAAATCTATATAACAAAGTCCAATAAGGACTTTGTGTAAATATACAACGATGCATTGGAAAAAACGGTGGGAAAAAAAGGCTAAGGTCTAAATCCAACTTGAACTAACCCTAAAAACTACAAAAATCGCATTGGAAGAAAACCTCAAAAAACTATGACTCTCTCTTACAAATAGTAGAACAACACATCCACTTAATCAACAAAGAATCTGCTCTCTTCAAGAAACAGCTTAATATATCTGTAATTCTACCAACCAAATACGAAGCGAATACCATCTACTCCAAATGAGTAAAACAAAGCAAAACAAGTTGGCCAAATGAAATTACAAAAAAAAAAAAAACTCGTAGGACAAGGTGTTGCATAGTAAATATCTAAAAAGAACGAAAGAAGCAGATGTGGACCAACAGAAAACACATCAGTGGCTGAGGAGCACCGGGTTGAAAGAGGACCTAATTATTGCAGCTCAGGACCAAAGCCTCGCAACCAATAATCAGTGTAACATAATCAAGGATAGAACTAACCCTTAATGCAGGGTCCGCGAAAAATATGATGAAGCTGTGGACCATATTATTTCAGGATGTCCGGAACTTGCAAAAAATGAATATACCCACAGACATAACAAGATAGCGAGATATATGCACTGGAAGATATGCAAGAAGCACAAAATCGAAACCACTGAGAGATGGTATGAGCATCAACCAGACACTGTTACCCAAAATAACGATGTAACTATCCCCTGGGACATGCCAATTCAAACTGACTGGGAAATAAAAGCCAACAGACCTGATATAAAAATGCTTATTGACATAGCAGTACCATCTAAGAGAAATACCTCCATGAAAATTATCGAAAAATTGTTCAAATACAAGGATCTAGAGATCGAGATTAAAGGAGGAATAAAGACTGAAACTGTACTAATAGAAATCGAAGCTCTGGACCTCGGATGAAAAGGAATGGG